ACTAAACTTGATAAAGAAGACGGAATATTTCTTCTTAATGACATGATCAGATTTCACAGAAGCAACTTACCTCATGTAGACATTCAGAACAAATCCAAGTTCTCAATTAAGCTAACGTACCTTCCAAGAAATACCATGTCACGTGACCTCTTGAATATTAGTCGAATGACCGAAGCAACTGCCTGAATCGTCCCTAGGACCAGGTCAAATTATAACTATCTCCAACAAGCCTACTTTTACTTTGCCTCTGCAGAACTCTGTGAAATGGCTAGTAAACTCACGGATCTGACACTAAACGGTAAAAAAGTTGAATGGACGGACTCCAAGAAAAAACTTTGTGCCATTTGTTCGTTTGCCCACCATAACGCAACAAACTATTCAAAACGTAGACACAATCCTAAAGACGGTAATATGCAACAACTTTATCAAAAGTTTCAACCGGCTCAATTCAATAACTACGTCGCCCCAAAAAAACAGCAACAAAGAGGCGCAATAAGAGATAACGTCACCTTCGTAGATGCTTTAAAGAACAAGAAGAAGGACGACCAACCTAAAGGCTCTACATCTAACCCTTCACTACAGACTTCCTCCGGTAGTAAACATAATCCAAAGCCTAAACCCTTGACCTGGGCTGATGATATTCCTGATGATATGGATATTGAAACAGACAATCTAACCTGGGTGTCCAAGCCGTTTAAGGATCTTTCCAATGGTACCGTTAAAGGAGGCTCCATGCATGACCAGGACTTCCAAAAATTCATTACCACGCAACTCGAGACCATCACGAAACAACTTACAATCTTAACTTCCAATTTAGCCTTCTCACAAGACAGGCTTAGCATCATTGAAAAAACGCTCAAAATCAACGTCGTTACCCCTCAGAATGCGGCTGAACATAATAATGCGTTCCCACCAGAATCATCACCCGTTAACGAAAAATATCCTCATATTGATGCTTCTAAATGCATAACCCCTTTGCAGAAAAAGATAAATGAACAGCTCATCACAATCTGTCACTGCCAACAAAGACGTATATCATCATTCACTACAGCCATCAATAGTCTCTCCTCCACATATGCGGACTTCTAACAAATTCTCCTAAATAAAGGTCTGATGAGTGAGCAAGATGCTCAATCCTTCACTCCTATTACTGACACCTTAGACAGAAACATTGAAAGCTGCCTCAGTAGCTTTCCGTAATAATTTTATTCCATATAATGAACACTATCTCTACCAATATAAACCTTGATACGAATGTTATCACCCCTATAATAACTATCTACCAACTATAAACATTGCATCACACAACATTAGATCCTTCAACAACTCCGCCAAACAAAATTACTTGATATCTCTATACGAGTCACATAACCTTGATATTATTGGCCTCCAAGAAACAAACTTCAAATCCATCAGCTCTTCCATTCTCAATCGGTCTTTTCCAAATTTCATTTTCTTCACTAGCATGCACTGGGAAAGCCAAACGAGTGGGTTTGGTGTCAGCCTTTCTTTCAGTAAAAAACTTGCCAAACACATTTTCAAACACGATTCAAAATACGATCATATTATTTACACTAAATTACAATTCGCTGACAAACAAAAGCTAATAGTTATCAATGTGTACTTCCCGCCACTCAACTCTGGCTCCAAAGCATTATGTAAATTAATGCAAACGTATATAAACGTACTCCTTGCAGAAGCAACCCGAGATAACTACCACATCATCTTGTTTGGTGATTTTAATGCTGATTTTGACCGATCATAAAATCTGCAGCATACGATCTGTTTTATGAACTCACTTTCAAGACACAATTTGTTTGATGTTTTTAGCATCGTTCATAATACCAATCATTCATCCTTTCTGTCATTTTTTCATTCTGACACTTCATCAAGAATTGATTATATTTGGATGTTCTCGGAATTGACATTAAACATCCTCACATGCCAAACAGTGTCTATGATACCCTCTGTCTCTGATCATTCAGTAGTAATGACTTCAATATCTGACTTCTTGACCACCCCTTCGAATGACAGATGAAGCCCTAGAAAAAATTTTTAGTTTATTCTCATATAGATGACCAGAAATAGGCCAAATTCGTTGCCAAAACTGACAATATCACCAAACACAGTTCTCTTAAAGATCTTTTCATTACAAAACCCTGGACACAGTCCTAGCTTGTGGAACTTATTTCAAGAATCAATCATGCAGTGGCTAAATCCTGTATACCAGTAAGTAAAGCCAGAACAACCTGCTATAAAGATGATCATGAATTTTGCATATAAAATGTTATTTTTTAATAAATTAAACAAAGTAGATTTTTTTTATATAAATTTTAATTTTTGACTAAAATAGAATTTCAAAAATATAGCTACTTTATATCTATTATAATAAAATTATAATGTTTATTATATTTAAAAATATTATTTAAATAAAAATTTTAGTAATAAACAAAAATTATAATATTATTAAAAAGTCTATATTATATTGATTTTTTAAATTTATAATTTGATAAACTAATTTTCATTTAACAAAAATCTAATGTTAATTTTACAAAAAATTTTTATAAAAGTGACCTTTTGGCTTATATCTGTAAATTTTTTAGAAAAGATAACTTAGAGTAAATTTGGCAAAAAGTTAATGAATACAAATATTATTCAAAAATTAAAAGAAAAAATACAATATTATTAAAATTTTCTAACTATCTGTATAATCTATTTAAAATTCTATAAAAAATATGTAATATTTTTAAAAAATTAATATATTAAAAAATAATCTATATATTTAAGGAGTTTAGGCATTAAATAATAAAAAATGAAATAATTTATAAAAAAAGATAATTTTTTTTAAAATATAAAATCTACCGATCATCTAACTTCTAAATTATATATAATATAAATCTATAATTATACAGATTATTAAGATTAGTATTGAACTTAAATTTTAAAAAAAAATTTAATAGATATTATTAATTAACTTTAAGAATTATAAGGGGTCAGATACTTATGATTGCTACTGTATAGCAAAGAAAACATACAAGTGATTTGATAATAATAATATTGAAATTTTAGATTAGCCAGTATAATCATTAGACTTAAATCCCATTAAATAGTTGTAAAATGAAATTGATCATTATTTGCAATAGCTTCCTAATAATATTACTAGTATAAAAGATTTGTGAAATAAAATACAATTAGTATAAAATCAAATTGATGTTGATTTTTTGTTTAAAGTTAATTGATACTATATCACAACGAGTTAAAGATGTAATTAAGGCTAATGAGGGATATATGAGATAGTAATAGTTTTATTAAAAAAAATTAGAGTATAGTTTATTAAAAAAATTTAAAAATTTTATGTTTTTGATTTTATTTGTTACAGTATATGTATCAGAAGTATTATACTATAAAATTTATGGTTTTAAAAAATTTTTTTAAAAATTATAAATATAAAAAAAAGAAATTTAAATTTGAATATATTATAAAAGAAGACTCAAATAAATACATTAATTAAATTTTCAAATCATTTGATCATTGAATTACAATCTAAAAATTATAAATAAAGTGGTATAATAATTATGAAAGTCATTGTATTAAATTAAAATAAGATTTAAAGTATTCAAAGTATTAAAAAACAATTTATCAAAATAGTTTATTATAATATCAATAAAATCATGTTTTTATTTATTGTTTAATTAGAATGATATAATCATTTCAATTTTTTAGTTATCATTCAATTTAATGATTTTTTATCTATCATTAAATTTGAAACAATATAATCATTTCAATTGAATGATTTTTTAGTTATCATTTGATTTGAAATGATATATTCATTTTAATTGAATGATTTTTTAATTTTTGTTCAATTAAAATGATAAATTATTCCAATCAAACGATTTTTTTTTTTTATTATTCAGTTAAAATAATATAATTATTCTAATTAAATGATTTTTTATTTATCATTCAGTTTATACATCCCAACACTGATATGATCTTCTTATCACAGACATTAGTAATCGGAAAATATATAAGTTATTTTACCGCTCAATCACGACATTATCAGGGTTTACAGGTGCTTGATATCTCTGAATTATGGTAGATACCTAATACATAATTTATGATTTCTGAGTTACTGGACCCGATTTTTTTGCAGTAATTATAACAATGAAAATATAATGCGTAATATTAAAAATAGAGATTTCAAATTTGATTTTACAAATTGCAACAATTAAATTAAACAATTAATAAAATATTTCATTGATGCAATAGATGACCAAAAGTTTCTAATAAAAAAATGATTCAGTTACAAATGAAAAATTTACTCGATATTTCATTCTTAACCATGCAGTACTTTTGTCCTCCCCAATATTATATGCGAAGAACTGAAAGTAGAAAGTTTTTCAAATCAAACAATGTTTCATTAAGCAATAAATAACTAATATGTTATTAAAATATAGCTCAGTTACTTTCTTCCCTTACAACATTTTATATTTGAAGATTTACTTATAAAGAAAAAAAGTAGGATCCATTTTTTTTCCCTAGCCATTATTAATAACAATCCTTCCATATACCAGCATGATCGGACATTTGAAGATATTCACCCGGTTTGTGAATATTAAATAAATTAATAGGACAGCTAATATTTGTTTAGTATTTTAATCCGAATCTGCTGAACTAATAAAAAAAGAGGGTTAGGAATGTGAGTTACTAAGAGTATTGAATATAAAATGCGGAGATTCACACAATAAATTGCATCATTTCATTAACTAATATGGATGTCAGCAAGGTTATCATTGGCATCTTAAACAAGACGATAATACAAAGTAGGGTTAACAGAGATGAAATAGTAATCTGACGAGTATTTATGAACCTTTCAAGGTCCGGTTTATTTTTTTCTTTAAAGATTTTAAACGTTAACATTTTTTATTTATAATTCTCGTTTATGAATATTTTACTTTATTTATATTTGCTCAAATTTAGTCGATTTCAAATAAATTATTTATTTATAAACGCTCATCTTTTTTATACCTAATGAAAGCAACAAGATTTGTGTATGCCTCATCCACACGAAGACGCTGCTCTGGTGATTTTCGTTTATCGATTGATTTAGCCTATAATGAAAATCACGCATCAATAGGTTTCTCATAAATAAAAAAGAATTATATTTCCAGAAATCCTTACCATATTATGAACATTGTCAATTACACTTTCCAACATTTGTAAATAACCCTCATGAACAAACACAGGTTCATCATAATCAAAATCCTTATCTGCATATATATCATATATAGCATTCAAAGATTCTGTAATGCAATCAATAGGAGGAGAAACTGTTCGAGATAAATCTTGTATTATTTCGACCAAAAATGCACCAATTAACTAAATAAACTTTACAATATTAATTTTTAATTACTCAAATAAAGTCATTTAACAGAAATAAATAGTTCTTCTGTACCTTGTTATCTTCTATCGCATGATGTCTCCTGGCAATTACACCTAATGTACCAATCAATTTAACACGCATAGATTCCGATACAGTAGACTTATAACATTGAATAAATGATTGTATTTGATTTTCCGCAAGTGGCTGATAATATTAAGGTTAAGAAGCATTCTGAATAATGGTCATATTTTAAACAAAGAATATAAAAATATATATACCAAATCACCGTTTAAACCTCTAGCCAAAATCCATAAACATCCAACCAGAGCTTCCAATACGGTACCCCTCATTTTTTGTCCTGGGCCTTCTTCACCGACCTTCACACCCTTGCCTGCAACCTGATTTGCTACTTCAACAATCCTTGTCCATGTTTCTTTAGCAGCGTTGCGGTGTTTAGTAAACCACCATTTTTCTTCGACAATATCTACCATTATCAAAAAGAAGTTATTCATACATTCAACCGCTCTTAAATGCACTGTTGCGAGTGATTCTGTAATTGCAGGCGCAATTGAATTTTTAGGTATAACATTATACCCTAACTGTTCAGGATATGAAAGAGAAGTTGGTCTAGATAAACGAATAAGGTCTGAAATTATGTTAGTGGAGAATGTATTCAAAATGGGATGTTCATGTCTATTGATAGAAGTTTGATCATAAGTATCATTTGACATTGGATCAACATCCATAATTTTTATTTTGTTGAAATCAATTTCATTTTCTTCATTTTGTATTTCATCCTGATAGTTGTCATCGTCTAAGTTAATTAAAAAAGGAAAATTAAATCGTATCATCAATCAAATCTACCATGAAAAAAATTTAAATTCTAATAAAACCTTGGGTGAAACATTCCAAACAAATTTTTGATAATAATTCGAGGGCAAGTTGCAAAGTCGTTAATCTCGAATTTAGACTAATAAGCTTTTCCTGTGAGGAAAGATTTAAATATTACAAGTCCATTTCTGAAATTAATAGAAAGCATATGAAATATTCAAATGATGAACCTCTTCTGATGTGGACAAATCTTTAGGATGCTCTGTTGCAATATCCGATGCAACCTACATAAATAGAAAAAATATGTAAGAATAAATTAATTGATTAAATGACATAATTATTACTTACTACATTCGAAGCTGCCTCGATAGTTTCGTTAGCAACTTTTTCGATATCATCATTTAAACAAGATTTTAGTATTGGAATTAAATAATTATTTATGTCGTTGTTAAATTTAGTTCTGGATACAGTATGGATAATTATAGGACCTAGATTTAAAATAACACCTAAAAATAAATTAATAACATTAGTAAATCATAAATATTTTTATTAGAAAAAAAAAAGGTAAATAAATACCGCAGCACAAAACTTTTATAAGTAATTCATCATCGTTCAATGTTATATCTCTTTCGAGATTTATAATATCCAGAAATATTTGTATGTATTGTGGGTTTAGTTCAAACTGTCTATGTATGTCTGAGTTTTCGTCTGTAATTGTGTGAAGACATTGTGCTTGATCGGAAAAAAAAAAAAAATGTTTGAAATGAGATAACGTATCAACATTAGTTTGTATAAATTTCCTAAATAAAATATACCAGCAGCAATGACTGTTTTTATTGGAATTTTTTCAATATTAATAAAAAAAGCCATTAGAAAATGAACTATATTCATATTATTAATTCCTCTGAGTATCTTCTGTGAAGTTTCACTGTAAAATTTTATGAGTTTTATTTTCTGAATGCAAATATGAATATGATAACAAAAATGTCATTGTTTGGTACCTCAAAGCCCATATAATACAAATAATGTTTTCTGCAAAAATCCATAAATTATTTCTTGCATTTTTAATTGGATCAGATTCATATGAAATTCCTTTTAACATGTTGTCAATAATTATAGATAACTATTAAACACAGAAAGGAAACTTATGTTTAGTTCAAATGTTAATTATTTATTATATATTTACATTTATATGTTATACCTTTGAAATAAGACTCATTAAAGGGGTCAGAATATCTTTATTGAACATTTCAGCGCATATTTCATACTCCCCTATAACCGTTAAGTTTCTATATGTAAAACATATATTTAAAACTGTATAAAGTCATTATTAGTAGATTATATAATTGCACTCACCTTAATGTACCTACACTTTCATATATTACTTCATAAACATCATCCGTTAACCGTTCTATTAACAAACTTATGAGATTCTTTGATAATAAGAGACGACGAATTTTTTCTTCGCCTGCTATGAGGTTGGATACACAACTTGCTGCCCATGCGCGCTCAATAGGATCAGCTGAAGACAGCTGTTGTTCAAGTGCCAAATGAGAAATTAAAATAAAATAAAGAGAGAAAGAGGTCATTGCAATTCTGAGGCAAACCTGCTTAATAACCGGGAGCACATCCGAGCTTCTCGAAGCTTGTGTTAGAAAGTCGTTATTATCATTTGATTCTAAAATGCTAGCATTATTTATAATTGGTGAAGACTTTGCTGATTTATATTTTTTTTTATTTGGTACTTTACCCATTGCTTCAAAATCTAGAAAAATAGATTATCGATACTTTTATACCTTTTGTATGTCGATCATTACTTTAATTAAAACCTAATTTGGGGTCCGTCTAAGCGGAGTTGTTTTGGCCGGAATATGGCATTAAGAAATTAATCATATGACGAATAAGGGGCCTGACAAATAGGATTTTGCAACCGAAAAACTAAATGTGGAGGGATGTGATATAGGTGACAAATAATTTATATTGATCACGTGATTAACTCCGCTTTAGACATCCTCTTAATTTGAAATCTATAAAAAATTTTGTTTTAAACTAAAGATGGGTTTTGTCTTTTTGATTTTAAATATTTTGAACAAGGTTTTAAAATAAAAAAATGTGTTTAAAACTTATTTAAACTGTTCAAATTGTTTAAATTATTTAATTATCTAATATTATTATAAATTAAAATAAAGATTTTTAAAATAAAAATCTGAATAAAATTCTATAAGTTATTCAATTTAGTCATAAGCAAGTTTATACTGTATATTACCAGTATTAATTCTAGATTTTAAACCAATTTGGGCTTAATTCTAGCTATCTAATCCTTTTATAATCTTTAATTATTAAGAAATATACTTATTATATAGTTTTTTAAATATAATTATAATCACTTTTAATATTTAAAAATTTTTATGATATACTGATTACTATTAAAAGTATTAAAAATATAAAAATATAAAGTATTTAATGTTCAAGATATAACTCTACAACTTTAAATTGTATATTGATATCTTAAAATTAATTCTAAAAATAATTTATCATAAAATACTTAAGATAAAAAAGTCCAATTTCTCAGAAAAAATCCAACTTCTCAAGTATATATATGCTAAGTCTAATTTTACAGAGTTTAGATTTAGTGATTAATAAATTCTTGTTAAAAACCTGATTCTAAAGATAGATACTGCAATTAAAAAAATAACATAATTGAGTTATAACTTGTAATGTAATTAAATTTTCTTATAATGCAATTAAATTGCAATTCAATTAAAGTTTAAAAATAATTATGATAATTATTTTTAGTTGATTCTCTTTATAGTCACCCTATATAAAACCAGATCTTTTTATAAGCATACTAATTTGATCTAAATTACTAATAAACTTATTAAAAATCTTCTCTTTAGTTACATTATATAGTATTTTTATAATTATATCATTTTTTAATCCTAGAGAATATTTTTATATAAGGATTTGACTATATACTATTATTTTTTAATATATAAAAAATCATTTTAAATCTGATTTTTCAGAAAAATACTATGACAAAAAATGATATTAAAGTATTAAAATTTTCAGATATATGTTAAGTTTAATCTTTAAATTTAAAGTTTGAATATAAATATGCTAAATCTAACCTTAAAATATAATCACTAAATAAATATATATATATATATATAAAGTTTAGTCTTTAAAATTAAACTCAAGATCAAACCATTAAGTTTTATTTTAAAATTTCTAATTTATTATTAAGATAGTATTCTAGATTAGTGTTAAATATAATTTTAAATTTTAAAAGTTTTAAATAAGGTTTTAAATATAAAAAAAAAGTGCTTAAAACTTATCTAAAATATGTTCAAAACTGTTTAAAATTATCTAATTACCTAACATTATTCTAGATAGATAAAATCTCTTAATATATTAAAATACTAAAGAAAGATATAATAATTTTGAGAAATTCAAAAATTATAAAAGAATAGTTATTAAAGAATAGGAACTATTTGCAAGTCTGAAATATTAAAATACAGTCCATTTTAATTCACAAAATAAAAGTAATTCATAATAGATTGGCAGTAAAATAAACAAAAAATTATATAATAGTAAAATGTGAGTTAAATTTCAAAACAATATAACAAGTTTTTTTAGTTAGTTTTTAGTTAGTTTAAATAATTAGATAATTATTTATATGTATAAAAATAAAATAATAATAAAGTATAAATTAATATATTCAAATATTTACAGAATATGATTTGTTTATTAATATTCAATAATGATAATTATTAAAAATATACAAAATTATTCAGATTATATTGTCATACTAATTATTTTTTAATTGATTAAACTATATTGAGATAAGAAAAATTTTACATATATTAAATGTTAAAAAATATGGTTTAGATTTTGCTTAATTATAGTTATATTCCCAATATGAAAATGAAAATCTTAAAAATAAATAAATATAAGTTTTCAAATAAAAATTAAAATTAATATCCTCAATTTAATAATAAAATAATATTAATCCTGCAATATAAAATAATAAACAAAATATTAATACAAAGATAATTAGAAAGTTAAAAAAATAACAAAATAAGATAATAGAATAACGTGAAACATATCTCATATGTGAATAATATAAATGATAAAATAGAGGCAAAAAAATAAAAAAAGAAAAAGAAATGCAATATATAAGTTATTAGCTTCAAAAAAAAATAATTAATAGAGACTACAAAGGAAAGTATAGTTGTAAAAATAACTAGAGATGACAAACAGAAAGCAAATAAAAGAGAAATGATTAGCCAGATATACAGTATACAAAATGAGTAACAGAAAGCATGATTGCTAATGAAGAACAAATAATATTAAATAAATTTTGTAAAAAAATAAACTAAATCAAATATAATATTTATCTTATATATAATAAATATAATCTATCAATAATAATCGTACAAGCTTTATATCTATGATATTATATAGAAAGGATTTTACCAAAGAAATTTTTAGCTAATAATAATATGAATTCAGAAAATATACTTAAAGAATTCAAAAGGCTTATAGACATTGAAGAAATACTGATATCTCAAGTTTTTTCAATAATAACAGTATATAGACTTAAAAAAGAATAAAATTAATATAGGGAAAATATCATAAATTTTTTATAGGATATCCAATCATTTACAAATTATCTTTTAAGGTATCTATCTTTACTAGATATATTAGTGATATGAAAATAATTAGTAAATAATCTAATATTATTTAGAGACTTTAATATACATCATAAATAGTATAAGTAGAATATTAGTATATTATAACAAAATAACTGATCCTATAAAGACAGTTGAAAATAAAACAGTAACCACTTACTTTCTTAAATTTAAAAAAAAAAAAATAATAAAGATATCTCTGAAGAAAAATAAAATAATGAAGACATCTTTGAAGAAGATAAAAATGATAAAGACATCTTTAAAGATAAAAATAATGAAGACATCTCTAAAGAAAATAAAATAATGAAGCATCTCTAAAGAAGTTGAAAATGATGAAAATGTAATATAAAGCATGTTTATACTATCAATTTTAAATACATATTATGAAGAAATTGTCATAAACGAGATACTTGAATATATACAAAGCAATAACTAACTAATAATATGATCAAAAATAGAAAGTATTCTCTTAAATGAAATTCAAATAACTGGATATATGGTGAAAGTATTCTTTACACTATATCTGAATAGATAAGCTAACCGCAGATAAGAATAAGCTAAAAAAATCAAACTAGTAGATAAAGATAGCATTATAACATTATAATAATTATTTATCACTTGTTACAACTTGAATTTTAATAATATTACAATTTATTGCAATATTGTAATGCTTATTTATCACTTATTACAACTATTAAGATATCATCTTTACTAACAGAGTATTTTAAATATCTTATATAATATAAAGATAAAAAGTTTATATAATATATATGATGAAAGTATTTTACCTTAAATTCATCAATAAAATAGAAAGCTTTGCAAGTAAAAGCAATATTTATTAAGCAAAATATTAAAAATAATTAAATAAACATTATAAGCATATAAAAAATGATAAGTAATAAAAATAAACAAATAGCAGATAAGATAATAAGATATAAAGAAAGTTTACGTAAACGTGAATGGTAAAATAATATAAATTAATAAATATGATCAAATAAATAGGTCATCAAGAACTTATTTTCTTTATATTTAGTATAACAGATTTTTACTAATCTGAATTATATAAATTTATGCTAGAAGGAGAGATATTAAAGAAGCACACAATAAATAACAATAGAATATTATTAAAAATCTACATATAGCAATGTGGTTTTTCAATAAAAGGTTTAAAATATTCTTTAACAGTGTATTAAAATTATAATAAGACCTAAAAAAGTAGTAGTATAGTTTAAATAACAGTATTGAAGAAGTGTTTATATACACAGAATAAAAAAGAAAAAAAATGTATCAATAATTAAATAGGAAGAATTAAAGAACAATGATAACCTAATGAAAAATACAGTTGAATATTTCAACTCAATTGTAATAATAATTAACATATTAATACACTTATAGCAGAAAAGCATTTATGTCAAAAAGCAATAAAAAAATAACTGATGACATGCAAGACTACATAGAACTATCAATAAGTTACAAAAGCACATATAGTGTAATATTTATGTTAAATAAAATGGAAAAAAACAATATACAGTGGCTGACAAAAGAAACGCAACAACTTATTTTTAGCTTTAAATGCTTATAACTTATTAACTACAAATGCTA